GTCTGATTGTGTCAGGCCTGCTGATGCAGGTAACCCAACGCAATTATCCTGCTGGACATGGCAGGTTGAAGACCATACTGGCAAGATGACTGAGGAAAAGGGATTGTGTGCGGACCACCGTAGCTACGAGAGTCAACCTTGGAAAGAAATGTAAATGTGGCGCAAAACGTGCAGAAAAAAGAACGGGAAAGTCCTTAAGGAGCAACCAGTACAATCATAATGGACAACAATTAGCTGTTTGGCAAAGAGTTCCTCGGATTGAAGGAGTTCCGCTTGCTGTGGTTCCAAGACTTGCCTTCGGGTATCACCGTTTTTTCATCGTATTTGTGATTCGGTGGGTCTTTCAATCTTGCGTCAAGATCATGCGCAAATCGAAATGAACAATGGTTTTTCGTCCAGAAAACATGCTGCACTTCTTGTGGTCAGTAGGCAACTGTTGATCTTCATGATTTTGTTTCGTTCCCACAAGCGCCGATCCTATGTGAAGGTAGTGCGAACATTTTCCTCAGATCGCGAGAGCTGTTGGGGTTCTTGCTTTGAAAAATGGGTAGAGGTGCCTGTGTGCTCCAAAGCATGGCGCCGCTGCCAGGTGGCCATGTGGTAACTGTCGTCGAAAAAATCCAAAGCGTTGTCGGTCCAAGTGCTCACAGTCTGCTTCGTCGTCAGTTTGTATTCTCTTTCGCTTTGGAACTTGGGTGCTGGTGCTGCTGCATGGTGCTGCCGCAGAGTGCTGCTGCAGGTTGCTGCGAGATGTCGATGGCTCTGTGCACTTTGGAGCCTGGGTGCTGGCACCATTGCAGTGCGCCGCCAGATGTGTATGGCCGTGTGCGCATTGGAGCCTGGATGTTGGTGTTGCTGCATAAGAGTTGCTGCCAGATGTTGGAGCGTCCGCTTTGGAGCCTGTGTGCTGGTGCCCCTGCACGCTGCTGCTGCTGCTGCTGCTGCTGCTCCTGCTGCCAGATGCTTCTGGCAGTGCGCGATTTGGAGCGTGGGTGTCGGTGTCATGCTGCCCACAAATATTTTTGCTATTTTGGGGGTTCTGAGGTTAGATCTGGTGAGTCCGATCCAAATCACTGCACAGTGTTGGAATGTAAGTTGAAAAGGTCAACCGTGTTCACATGACTGATTTACAGCTTTGTGGTTCATCAGCAAGACCGAGTAACAGAGGCTCATGAAGTACATCCCAAATTGAGGCACTTGCAGCCATGGTAGCAGCAACACCACCAACGGATTGAAATCATAAAGCAACTCGATGTTTCAACTGTTGAGTCTGCATCGCACATCATGGATATTTGGTTTCAGACGAGGGAAAAAACAATCCACTTGCCTTGCATGATATCACCACAGCTTTATGGCTGAGACTGAAGAAGAATCAGGCTGGGAATTCAGCGGGTTGGCCCAAGCGTTTGACGGCAGTACTGGAAAAACCAAGGATGCACAGCTTGCTTGACACGCCTTGACAGCAGCTCTGACCGCAAAACAACCAAGTGGGCGGACAGTCTTCCCCCAACCGACAAGTGTATACACATGTTGTAGCTGTAACTTGTAACCCCACAAACATATTCATGGTGTTAACTATATAACGCAATGACGCAATGACATCAACAATTTGCTGGATCCTGTGATATGTGCTTGCAGCTTGCACGTCGTTGTCGGGCAACTGAAGGATTTGGTCTGTTCGGTGATGAAGCTTCCCATGGATACGTTCGGGTGATGCAGGGAGAACAAGCAGGATTCCATGACAGCTGCGTGGTTGAATTGGAGCAGGCATGCTTTCAAGTACGTGTAGTACTAGGACCCAAAGCGGTTGGAAAAGGAAGGCCTTTCGGGGGATGGTGGGTTTGCCCTTCCGAGAGACAAACCATGTGGGCTAAGGTGGAAAGCCGCTGCTTGCAAGCACTGTTGATACATTTGAAGATGATGATGATGAAGGTATGGAGAGCAAGCTGGATACTATGAGTAAGCTGGACAGTATGATGGGCAGCATGATGAGCAGTTTGGACAGCATGACAGATCCTTCAACACCTGGAAGGAGGAGAAGGCCCAGAATGCGATGTGGGCATGAGACTGTAAACTGCTGGGTCGGTCATTCACGAGCACTACCATCAGTAGGTTTTGCTCGATGGGTCAAGCGCTAGGTCGGGTGTGCAGTTCTTGGGATATTCAATTCACATATCTAGCTTGTCTGAAGGTCAACCATGGACACCGAGATCGAGCTCTTCAAAGAACGTGCCGAAGTTCGCAGTGACCCACTTCTGCGGCCGTCCCTCAAATGTCACATTGGTTCCCCCAAAGCTCTCCAAGCACATTTGTCAAATCAGAGATGCCTTGTGAAGCAATGAAGAGATATCAGAACTTGCCTTCTTTTGATTCAGTATTCATTTGTAAGTTGGCAAAGACATGCTTCACCGAGCTGTTTTGAAGTAGATTGCCTTGCATCAAAAACTTCACATAAGTTGGGAACGCCAAGGCCTCGTACTATAGCTGGCATATGCCTGGCGGGCTTTTGTATGCTGCTGGGTGCAGGCGCAGGTGCTGCTGCAGCATGCCTGCAAAGAGCTTTTGCTCTGAGGGAGGGCTTTTGTTTGATAAAGCATCATGATGTTGGTTGTGTTCAGCAGTGCTCAAGATGATCCTTTTCCCAGATCCACGTTTGCTTGAACACATGAGATTGTGGCAAGTTGGAGAGGGCTTGAGTGGAACTGAGGCAGGCTATTTTGGTTTGTATCTCGAGCCACGTATCCTGATGTCTGCGTGTCTCGGCTCTGAGTTTTTGACGCAGACGATAGCTGTAACAACCGTGGGGGTGAAGTTGGGGGTCAAGAACTCACGCAAGCAGCTTCAGGCCAACTGTCGATTTTGGATCTGTGGAAAAAAACACCTCAGGTCAACCAGTACTCATGATGTTGGCTCGCGCATGATTTTCAAAGCTTCAGCTTGTCTGCAGGGAGTGCCACACCATCAAGCCAATTCGGCATTTGGGCGTGGATGCTATGCACCTCATGCGGCTTGTGGAAAGCTTCTACTGCCCAGCCCTTGACAGTGTCGAGAACTGGACAGCTACAAGACATAGCATCCGGTGCATTGCTTTTGACGTGTTCCGACTTGCGGTTTCCAGAGGAGCAGCTTTGAGGTCATAGCATGCGAACGTCCCAGATGGTCGAACTCTTCTGCCCTTTGGCTCTGGGTGCAGGAGGCGCGGTAACTGCTCTTTTAAGTTTCCCCAGAAATCTAGGAACCAAGCATAGCTAGGAGGTTCCTATTGATAGTAGCGTGTCTACTCAGTAGCGGGCTATAAATAACTTCAGCACTGACTGGCCGAAGCTGGGAGGTGCTGTGGCAGCTTTGAGACTTGCCTACGGGCATGCATACTTCAAGCAGTGGAGGCTCGGGCAAAATACAGGCCGGTCCAGGAAGCCTTCCTGCCACTGCAATTATTAGTTGAGGAGACGGGATGGTCGTTGCTTTTTGGGTTTCTTTTCACTCCAAGGACTGATGAGGAGTCCATGAATGAGCTTAAGAAACTCTATTCTTTGCGAACGGTGACTTGATCCAAAAGAGTTTGGTTGTGGATATATACAGTCAGGCAGTTGGTTGCTGACCTTTTCTCTAGACTCTAGACACTGAGCTCAGGTCGGAACGAAATTCGTTCTCAGGACAGGGTTTCAGATCATTACCTTGGATGGCTTTAGAATGGTGCCTACCTACTGTATGTGTTTGGTGTTTTGCTGTGTTTCTTCAGGTGTTGGCGCATGCGGCGGTCAACGGTCTTCTGCTTTCAAGTGGTAGTCATGATGTGGCTTCGATACACGGTGGATCTTTGGATGGACATCGAAGCGATGAAGATCTTCTTGCAAGAGCATCAGCCTTGGTTCTTCACCCTGAACCTCCTGGGTGTTTTCCTGGGTCTTCTGTGGACTGCCTACGAGTTTTACAATGTGATTACCAGCCCTGGCTCAAAGATCACCAACACGGAGATCTTTTTTGCTGGGCTCACACTCCCTTTGCTTGGACAGCATGTGACCTACTTGGCCATCCTATCCTTGTTTCGTGGCAGCCTACATCCCTTCCTCTTTGTTTCCACACTAGCAGAGGCCATCCTGGAATCCTCCATCTCCTCCTTCATTCAGACCTATGCAGTGGTTTTCACAAGCCGTTTGACTTGGGATCAAAAGGCGCAGCTCTACTTCTCCGTCTTCTCATCCTTTGTTTCAATTGGCTATGCCTTCAGCACAATTGACATGTTCCAAGGAGGCAGAATGCTAGTGAAGGTGCCCGGTTTCTGCAAATCCTTCAACGCGCGATTCGGAGTGGTGTTTTTCTTTCGCGTGGCCGAAATTACGTCTCGTGCAACATCACTCGCTCTGTTCCAAACAGTAACACGACCATATGGTATGTTTGTCGTCATTGCAGCGGATGGAGTTATCATGTCCATCTTCACCATTTTCTATCAGTGCCGAGTGGGCCAGTTTGCTCCGGTTGAACGCTTTGCATTTGTCCGTCACGCACTCAGTCCATTGCCGTGAGAATTGAACAGCCGTTGTAGCATGGCAATGTGCAGTCGGTCTTGCAAACCCTCCAAATTGTACATTCTCGAAGCTAGGCCAAAACTTCTTCTATGTCATCCCCTCTGTTCTTTTCTGCCGGATGGCGCCACTTAGCTGACTTAGCAGCAGGAGGATTTTGCAAAGAGCCTACAAACTGCTTGAGTTTGAGTCCGGCTCCCGTTCGGAGGCCTATCCTGGAGAAAGACACGGTGATCACCATCCCGCCAATCATCTATTACACTATCAGGCAAGAGGAATCTTACGGCAATGGTTTCAGTATGCAGTCATTGTTTTGCAGGTACTTGGAGCTGGCTGGCATGGTGGCAGTAGCTGGGGAGTGGATGGAGTGGGACAAGGACTATGCAAGAGACCTTTTTGAAGATGATGGACTCATCCTGGCTGCTTTTGCCTTGAGCACAGTGATGATGCTGGTCCTTGGCATCATCATCAGGACGTGCTGGCTTCACTACCTGACAGTGAAAGGTCATATAGAAACACATAGAGGTGATTGGAGGCATGCTTGTATGTGAGCTAGCTCGTTATTCTCCGTTGCTTTAGGACCACTATCCTGCTGAAGGAATGTTTCTCTTGCCCAGATGATGTCCTACTTGACGACAGTGTTCTTTTTCCCCAAACAGTATACTGTTAGGGGTTCTCAATGCTTTAAAGAATGGTTGCCTTGGTGCTGGATGGTCTGGTCGGGTTCCCGGCCGGCTTGTCTCCCACTTCCTTCATTTGTCTCCCAGTGCTTTTCATTTGTCTCCCAGGCTTCCTTTCATTTGTCTCCCACTTCTTTTCACTTGTCTCCCAGTTCTTTTCATTTGTCTCCCAGGCTGGGTGCTTGTGGTCGGGTTCCCGGCTGGCTTGTCTCCCACTTCCTTTCATTTGTCTCCCACTTCTTTTCATTTGTCTCCCAGTTCTTTTCATTTGTCTCCCAAGCTGAATGGTTGTGGTGGGGTTTTCGGCTGGCTTGTCTCCCACTTCCTTGCATTTG